CCTAGTTTTGCTGGACTAGCTCGTTCATCTTCATGGTTTGATATGAATGGAGGTATGTTTATTATTTTTGGTTGTGCATTATTACCATTGCAATGCAATTTTCAGAAACTCTGTCATCAGTGCTTGATTACTTTGAATGTTCATTATTTCTCCTGTGTTGCTGCTCTCTCTCTACTGAACTTAGTGCATGGTGCTTATATCGTAACTTTGTCTCCATTTTCTTCTATGTCAGGTCATTTGCCTTTAACTTTCCGAACTCCTCCAGTCAGCCCTCCCAGACCAAGTTACTTGACGGGCATGCGAAGAGTTTGCTCGTTAGAGTTCCGGCCTCAGCTAATGAATTCTCCTGATTCTGGGTTAGCAGATCCATTATGGGGCTCAGGCGGAACTTCAGGAACATCTGAACGCAGTTTTCTTCCACAATCAACAATCTATAACTGGAGCTGTGGGCATTTCTCAAAGCCTCTTCTCACTCCTGCTGATGATGGAGAAGAAATATTTACTAGAAGAGAGGAGAGGGAGAAATTTGTCCTCGAACGCATAGCCAAATGCCAACATTCTCGTAAGCCTCTTCAATTTTATTTTTATTCATGATATTTAGTCTTCTCATCATAGAATTTGATAGATCTCTATTTTGTCTTCGCCATCCTTTTTTTCATCAGCTGTTAGTAAGCTGAACGATAATCCAATTGCTAGCTGGGATACAAAGTTCGAAATGGGTACAAAAACATTATTGCTGCAACCATTCTCTCCCATCGTTGTTGCTGCTGATGAGAATGAACGAATTAGGTATGGGTGCTTTCTTGTATTTATTTCTTGCTGTATATTTCCAGTAGATTGTGTTGCGACTCATGGGAAATTTCCAAGTCTGTTGTCGTAAAACCTTTAGTGCCTGGCTCTAGCATCCATCTGTTGTTACAATTATGTTTTTGGAGACTATTGTTGATTTGGAAGTTAGTTTTAGGTCACACTACTGTGCACATATTGAAACAAGTATGGTTCATTTGTTGTTCAAAGCTTTCCCCTTACCTTGTTCCATTGGTTATTACCCTGTAACTTTCTTGGTTTGTCTCTCCAGGGTCTGGAATTATGAAGAACCTGCTCTTCTCAACAGTTTTGATAACCATGATTTTCCTGACAAAGGAATTTCGAAACTCTGTCTTGTGAATGAGCTTGATGACAGCTTGCTTTTGGCTGCTTCATGTAAGTTTTCTTCTTACTGCATTTTTTTTTTTATAAATTTTTGTGGTGGCCGTGTTCATTTAACACTCATTAGTGTGCCTTACTTCAATTTTTCCCTTATCCTTTAGGTGATGGAAGTATTCGTATTTGGAAAGATTACACTGTAAAGGGCAAACAGAAGCTTGTAACTGCATTCTCTGCAATCCACGGGCACAAACCTGGTGTTCGTAGTATAAATGCTGTTGTGGACTGGCAACAACAGTCTGGATATCTGGTATGTATTTAGTCTGGTTATATCCTCCCCCTCTTCCCTGAAAACTCAAGAGTAGCAAGAAGAGAAGAAAATATTTATTGTTTCTTGCTTGTATAATACTGAAGGTCTTTGTCTTTTGTTACGTGATTTGCAGTATGCTTCCGGTGAGGTATCGTCTATTATGCTTTGGGACCTAGATAAGGAGCAGCTTGTTAAATGTATTCCTTCATCATCAGATTGCAGCATCTCAGCATTGGTGAGTTTCACCTCTTCCCAATAATATAGGAAGTAGCAGGTTACTCCTATTTTGAGTCAGCTGCTTATAAACATAGTTTATCATCCTATTTCTTCTGCACCACTTTGTGATTGATTGGGCCAACTTGAGTATAACTCAACAAGTTAAACCAATATCATCGATCAAGAGGTTTGAAGCCCCAATCTCATTTGTTTTAGAAATAGATTGGGAATTCTTTTGAGAGTTGCCAGTCTCAAAAGAATTCCCAATTGTATGGATTTTTTGCGTTTATTCTAGTATCTGAATAATGTTATCAGAGGCAAGTTGAGGTGCCCATCTGAAAAATGATTGGAGCAAGTGTTAGATATTGTTGCCTTTACCTTATTAATGCGAAAACATAACATTTTTTAAAAAATAAATTCAGTTTTTTCTGGGTGATCTTCTCCGCCTCTTGATATATTTTGCTTTAGGTTTTGAGATTGTTAGTTCTAGTTTTGAATTCTTAGTCCCATGAACTAACAATTGGTAGAATGAGATGGCCTATATATATATATGTAAAGAACTCTTTGTTTTTGCAGTCTGCTTCTCAAGTTCATGGGGGTCAGCTTGCAGCTGGTTTCTTAGATGGTTCTGTTAAGCTTTATGATGTTCGCACTCCTGAAATGTAAGCATATGCATATTTTTTCTTGATGTCTTTGTTTGAATAAAGCCAATGTTGGTTAAGCTTTTCATGATCTGCTTGCGGACTAATTTCCTCCAACAATACATGAAACAATAATTAGTGTTGTGCTTTAGGGGGTCAAATAAAGAACTCAGTGGGCTTTGTGATTTTCTACCATTCACTGAGCAACGGGAATACAAATTATAAGAAAGCTCATGAAATAAATAGTTGTTCAAAACCAATTGAATGATTCGTTATTCTATATGTAGTGAACCTAATTTTCCTTGTCGTTTATGTTTATGATGTTTAACTGAATATGCTGTGTGAAGTTGTCACAATAAGACCTGTACTCATGAAATCGTTACATAGAACCCCGAACCCAGCGTTGTGTATTATTTTGTAAGTCCAAGGGAGCACCCTTTCTGAAGCTGCCTTCATTTTCTCTCGTACCTCTTTATTGTTTCATCGTGATGTTTTTCTGTCAGAAACCCAAGAAATATACTTAGAATGTTTCTGAAATTTTTATTTTCTCGTTTTATATTTAATGCATATTTGTCTTTGTTCATGCCTTCTACTACAACCTTTTTTTTCTCTCAATTCGTAGGCCTGTTTGCACAATGCGCCCTCATGTTCAAAAAGTAGAAAAAGTTGTCGGGATTGGCTTTCAGCCTGGGCTTGATTCGTCAAAGGTGATAAATTTTCTTGGCTGTTGCTACTACAATATCAGTATCCTATCGATGAAGTATATTTGTTAATGCTTCTTATCATGTACTCTACTCCAGATTGTCAGTGCGTCTCAGGCTGGTGATATTCAGTTTCTGGATATCAGAAATCTCAGAGATAGATATCTAACCATCGATGCCCACAGAGGTTCACTTACAGCATTAGCCGTTCATAGACATGCTCCTATCTTAGCTAGTGGCTCAGCTAAACAGCTAATTAAGGTTTTCAGCCTAGATGGCGATCAACTGGGCACCATTAGATACCACCCTACCTTCATGCCCCAGAAGATTGGCTCTGTAAGCTGCCTCACCTTTCACCCATACGAGGTGCTGCTTGCTGCCGGAGCTGTAGATGCTTGTGTTTCTATTTATGCAGATGGCAACTCTCAAGGAAGATGAGATTGATTTCCCTGAGTTCCTGGTTGGACAACAAAGTTGCGTGTGCGCATCGATTTTATAACGAGTTGTCTGTGCAGTGCTCATATTGATTGCTATCGCCAAGTGCGATTTGATGATATGCTGAGCTGCCCCATTCTTTGCGTGGAAACCTCCCTTCGTCATCAACAGTGTAAGCTATAAATTTATTGGCCTCTGGTGTACAGGTTCACAGCTGATCAGGAAGAAAAAAATCCGTCATATTTATTGGGGCTTTGGCAAATAAATCTGTTGTATAGTTTAGGTGGCTGTAAATATTTCCATTGTTCATCCTCTCTTCTTGTGTGTTCATCGATCAATTTGTAAAAGGCTATCAACATTTTTTTTTTAACTCACGTTCGTCATCTAAGCCAGTGTATATGGGCGTGTTGGTTCTCCTGAAATTCTTGAGATTCGATGCGCCCATATCCTATCAGTGTTGAATTTTATTGCTTTTACTTTTCCCCCCACATTAACCATTATGTAACTTGTAATTATGTCGCATAGTTTGACCTGATTTTCTTGTTCATTTTGTGAATATATAATGCTTGATTTTATGTCATTTTCCCTCTGAGTTTCATCAACAAATTCAAGGTGAGGGCCATCCATTTCATTATGGATAAGCAAGAATATTTCTGATTGGAGAATTGGTCGAGTCATCTCAAAGTTTAAGCTTGATGACTTAAGATCTATAAGCATGAGCCTTTTTTTATACGAGACATGAATTTAGTTATCGGCTCGGACCCAATTGGCATGGCACAATTTGAAAAAGCATGATGATTGCATTTGTTTGCTTTAAACTTCTAGGTATTTTTTCATATCACAAGAGGTAAATAAGGTGGACGATGTTCAAAAGTGGAGGTATATTTCATATTCACAAGACATATGAAAGATTAATACGATTTTTACTATGAGCCGTTGTTGTTACTCTTCTTTTTTTTTTTTTTTTTTTTTTTTTTTTTTTTTTTTTTTTTTTTTTTTTTTTTTTTTTTTTTTTTTTTTTTTTTTTTTTTTTTTTTTTTTTTTTGCATATATAACGTCTCTTTTTAAAATCTCTCTCTGTCCACATTTTTATATTCACAAGAGGCTCGAGCATACGTTGCTTGGTTGTAGGCTACGTAAGAACGAATTGACTTAGCTCACTTGTCGTTGGAAAGTGAGTGTTGCATAATCGTAAGGAGATTCTGATATNGGGACAAAACTGTTCCTATTAACTCCGTTAAAAAACCTCAATCTTCACTTATAAACCATTGAAATGATCCTTTTCAAGTGAGTACCTCGGGTAGATTCACGTTCTTGTAGTTGATTTTCCCTTTTTCTTTCCCCCCTCAACTGGCTCAGCTACCACTTCAGTTCAAAAAACAAAGAAACTTCCGAAATTGATAGACAAATAGAATTCAACTTTTTGTCATTTCGAGTCAATAAGATGCGGAAACGCCTCTCTCTTACGAACCGTACAAATTCATTTTAATTAGCGAGTTCCCAAAGGAGAGTTGGGCTTCAATATCCTAAAAAAAAAAAAGCAAAACAGGAGAAGGAAACTAGAATTGACATTGAGATGATGTTGGAACTTCAATTTCAGCTTCCTTTTTGAACCCACATTGCATATTTGTAGCTCTCTACAAAACAAGACCATCAAACCATAGCATAAACAAGAACATCAATTTCAGCTGCCTCTTGTTTACCTAGTACTTTCCGAGATTCAATAATTAAAAAAAAAAAAAATAAAAAAAAAAAGGAAGGGTGACCTGAACAATGAAGAAGCAGAAGCAGAGGGTTCATTAATTAAGGCGCAGTGGTCACGATGGCGAAGAGGGGCACATGAAGAACTAACTCAAAACCCCCAACAGATCTGAATTGAACTGAATTGAGTTAGCACAGCACGTGCCCTGCTTCTCCATCTTGCTCTTCATGCACCTTCTCTCTCTCTCTCTCTCTCTCTCTCTCTCTCTCTCTCTCTCTCCCTCTCTCCCTCCCTCCTTTCCTTCCTCTATAAAAAAAATTGGGTGTCTCTTCTTCCCCTTTATACTATCAACTAATCTTAAATTATCCGACCTACCCATTACAATTTTTGTGAGATCCCATGTTGATTTGAAAGAGGAGCTACGGCTAGCGAGAATGTTAAACCTCAGAGGAGGTGGATTGTGAGATCCCATGTCGGTTGAAGAGGTGAACGAAACATTGACACGTTTTAAAAATATTGAGGAAAAGCCCAAAAGGGAAAACTGAGAGATGACAATATCTGATAGCGGTGAGTTTGGGCTTTATAATTTTGGATGGAAATTAGGACTTGTAGTGAAGTTCTATAAGAGCCCAAGCCCACCGTCAGCAGACATTGTCTATTTTAGCTCGTTACGTATCGTCACATGGTTTTAAAACGCGTCTGCTAGAAAGAGATTTTCATACTCTTATAAGAAATGTTTTGTTCCCTCCTCCAATTAACGTGGGATCTCACAGCTTCATTCCTAGTTTTGGTTCAAGGTTATTGTCATATTGTTCTACATTGTCAAATATTCGAGCCGTTAACCCTAAATTTGGTCATTTTTTTCCCAAGTTTTTCAAAACAATCATTAAAGTAAAAAAAAAAAAAAAAACTCATTAAAATTTTGGATGAAAATTAAGATTTAGAACAAGTGTGACGATTACTTGCAACAATGGTTTATATCCTAATTTCCGTTCAAGGTTAACATCACACTGTGGTACGGTCTTGAGTTTTATTCTAAAAGTAGTTTTGAAACATTTATCGAAAGTCGAAGATAAAATTTAACCCAATTTGAAACGTGCGTGGGTCACCCTAGAAATGAAAGGCCTTACTTGGGGTAAGGGATCTCAAATGTAACACCTACCAAACTACCTTCTCACACACTTAAATTTAATTTATAATTTATAGCACCATTATTATTTATATATTTATGTACAATCTACTTCAATAATTTTCCCACCTTAATAATCTAATTACTATATATATATATATATATATATATATATATATTAATTTAGGGACTAAAATAAATATTTACAAATTTAATATTTTATTGTTTTATATACTAAAATATATGGAAAAATTATTATATATTATTATTAATATGATGGGTTATTTTCAAAGGTTAGCTGGGGTTTTGCTAACATTACCCATGTTTTATGGGCTGTTTCACGCCACAAAACATGCACCTGTTTATGTCTTAATCCTATGAAATGTTGTTGTCTCAAATCTTGTGTACCTTACAATTCTATTTTCTTTACATTGAAAACAAATATCGCATAATCTACTTTTTCGACCGAATTAAATAAGGTTTTCTTTTTTTAATTTAAGCGTATTTTATTTAGAAAATATGTAAGTGAGAATTAAAAAACTCTGTTGTTTTATGAGATATATAGAAATATCGAGATCATTAGATATTGAATTGGACTTTAAAATTATGATCTGAATATTAAAGTTCGTGGGGTTATATTAATATCATTATTTACCTAAAAAGTCTATAAATTTATCAATTATGCTTTGTTTTTCTCCCTCTTTTTCTATATATATAAAAAAGAAAAGGTTAAATTTGACAATTTTTTTTTTTTATTTTTAATACTTTCTATGTCTTTTTGCAATGGGATTTGATGGTGTCACACCAACTTTATAATAATAATAATAATAATAATAATATAAAATGGGAATTAATTTTGGTCCTCTCCTATAGACTTATGTTGCATAGTGGGGCACATAAAGTATAATAATAAAAATAAATTAAAAAGAAAAAAAAAAAAAGAAAAAAGACAAAGGAAATTAGACCCAAAAGATAAATAATAATAATAATAATAATAATAAAGTTGATTAGGAAAGGCTTTTTCTTGGAGACCGTTCAAAATAATTTCAATTCTTTTCACAGAATTAATAGTTTAAGCTCACTATTTCTTTTTTTTTTTATTCCACCGACTTGAAATCTCATAATTATATAATAAAAAATTTTAAAAAAAATACATAAATAAGTGAAAATTTTGAAAATAGACCAATATTACAGGTAACAAGTTTAATTAATTTTATTAAAAAAAATTCAATTTTAGATGAACTTTCATAAAATGGGTAAATATATATATATATATATTAAAAGAAAATAAAGAAGGAATCTAAATAAAAAGAGAATTTAGATAATAAAAAGTGGGGGAAGAAATAAATAGAGGCATAAATTTGTGGCACAAAATGGAAAGCTGTGGGGTAACTAAAGAGAGCACAAACAAGAATGGTGGTTGTGCCTTTTATATTATTTATTTATTTATTTATTTATTTATTTATTTATGTGGGGTTTGCAAAAAAGCCCTTCATAATTCTACAAATTGCCCTTTCTTATTTATTTATTTTTTATTTTCATAAATATTTTTAAGGGAAGTGTAATTTTGAAAGGTGGAGAAAAATGTGAATGAAATTAATTAATTAATTAATTAATGGCCCATAAAGCAAAATAAGAAAAATATTTAAAAGAGGTAAATGAAATAAATCATTCCCCTTTTGGTTTTTTTTTAGGGTCCCCAATATATTTTTTTTTAATATTATTTATTGACATGTGAATCCAATAAAAGGTAATTTTGGAAGGTTGACAAAAATGCATTTAATTCAAAAAATTAAAAAATAAAAAATAAGAAATAAAAAAGGGAAGAATATTATTATTTAGCATTTTTGGCCCAACCCTGTTTTTTACTTTTTAGCTGGACAAGATTGTTTGGATGCAAGTCTATTGACCTGGAATTCCACTTCAACCACCAAAAATCACCACTAATTCCAACCACTCTTGCAGTCCTACTGATCTTCTAATGAACAATTTGTTTATGATTTAGTCATACTCCTCTTGTAACGGTAAAAGGGTGAGACTCTGTTGTTGAAGTCTTGAAATAAACAGATAAGGGAACAGAAAATAATTAATTTTATTTCGTATTTCAAGCTCCTATTTTAGTCAAGTTGTCAAAATGGTACGCTCATTGAATCAAGTTAAAGTCACTCTCATTCGTGAAAATTGAAGTTCATAACTTATTCGGGAGTAAAATTGAATATTTTATGGTCAAATCTTATGCAAACTCATTGTATAAGATACCCACATTCACATGTCTCAGTAGGACTTTTCATACAATGTGTATCAATCCAAGGTGTGTAACAGTCAAAGCCCATCAGTAGCCGATATTGTTTCTTTGGACCCATTGCTAGCAAATTTATCCTTTTTGGGGTTTATTAGAGCTTCAATGTTTTTAAGGAGAGGTTTCCACACCCCTTTGGGCTTTTCCTTTCGTGCTTCCCCTAAATGTTTTTAAAATAATGTCTGCTAAGGAGAGATTTCTACGCCGTTGTAAAATATACTTCGTTCTTCTCCCCAACAATGTGGGATCTCAAAATTATTATTACAGTTAAATCATTAATTACGAGTCTTTGGGACATAAAAATCTCAACATGTGTATGATATGATATCAGATTTCTAATTTTTTTTCCTTGTTATTTATGATTGTTTGAGTTAAGTAGAACTCGACTAGACTTATAGGTGCGGTGAGCAAACCAAACCGACAGTCCGAATCAAATCTAACCAACGACTTTATGGCAAAATAATAATTTGGGGAAAAAAAAAACATAAAATAGGGTGTAAAATTTAAGATGAGCAGGTTCATTAAAGTTGGGACAAATTTAGGTGAGTGGGAAACATGAGAACCAATTTTTATGTCTAATCAAAGCAGATAAAGTAGGAAAGATCGTCTATGATCTCACTTTTAGTTGACTACCCTTTCAAAGCCTCTTTAAAATTCAAAGATTTTGATGAACAAATATCTTGATTATTTATTACTTCATTTGAATCATGAACTTGATAATGCTACATTTGGGAAATGCTTAATGGTTCTTCTTTTTTCCCCCTTGTTTTAAACAGAGAATTTCTTTCAAGATCTGGGCCAGGCTTGAAGAACTGTAAGGAAAATCCAGTCCAAATCAATAACCCATCTTAGCCCATGATGAACTCAACCAATTCCCATCAAGGGCCTCATTGCAGTCCACACGGAAGACTCAAAAAGAGGAAAGTTCTAAAAAAGTTTCCCACCATAGCAGGGCATTTTGAAGGTCGATCGACTCTTACTGGTAAAAGGAAAAAGTTGCGTTAGGAAAGAAACGTAAATCATTTCTGATTTTTGAACTTTCTTTGCTTTGATGAGCCTCTGGAACTTCAACCCAGGTACATTTCTAAGTTCCCTTTCAATGGGGTTTTTTTCTATATGGGTTTCTCTTGAAGGAAATTGTTGCCCCACATCGAGTTTTGATTCTGTAATTTTGTGTTTTATCGTGATTCATACTGCCATTTTGATCAAATTTCAAAGATTAAGTTCATTGTTATGAGTGACTGCTAGGTGTTTGTGTTAATGCCCAGGTCAATAATTGCTTGTTTGTTCATGCTTTTGAGTATCTGTTCATAAATTATGTGATATCAATGATTAGAACCCAATGTTGAAAGATGATTAGAATCGATCTAGTTAATGTTGGGAGTAATTTTTGGGACTCAGCTTGTTGAGCATCCTAGGCCCTGTGAATGGATTCAAGACAACCTTCAACTCTTAAGTGCTGCATATTGTGAACACAAGGCCAAGTACGACGACAAGCTTCACGGTTCGATGTCGATATCCCGAAGGATTCTACTTAGGGGTGCTGATTCAAAGATTGGCTCAGAAAACTTGCCCTCCTCATCTTTTAAGTTCCAGAAAATCAAGTTCATAGGATTTTGTAAAGAGTGGATCAAAGACCCTTCGAACATTGCCCTTCTTTTCTGGACGATCGGCGTCACGGTTTCAGGATCGGTCGTCTTTCTTGTAATGACTGGAATGTTAAACAATCTCCTGCCAACTAAATCACAAAGAGAGATTTGGTTTGAAGTTAATAACCAAATCTTGACTGCTCTCTTCACTCTGATGTGTTTGTATCATCATCCTAAGAGGATTCATCATATGATACTTTTATGTAGGTGGAAACCAGGTGATATCCTTATACTTAGAGAAATATATTGCAAAAATGGAACTTATAAGCCACATGAAAGGAAACACATGACGGTATTGCTTGTGTTGCTTCATATGAACTGCTTTGCCCAATATGCTTTATCTGGCCTTAATTTGAGCCATAAGAAGCCTCAAAGATCAGTTTTCGGAGTTTCGGTCTGCCTTACTGTTGCACTCTTGACTGCTGCTGCTGCTAGTTTATACGCCATTTTCAGTCCACTTGGGAAGGAGTACGACCACGGCGACGATGAGGAAAGTCCAAACCGGATCAATGATGGCGATTTGTTTGTGTCAAGAATTGTTGACAAGCCTCAATGGAGAGGTGGACTGTTCCATTTCCTTGATGACATTAGAACAGCTTGCCTTTCCGTCTTCTGCAGCTTCTGCTTGTTTGGATGGAACATGGAACGGTTAGGATTCGGGAACATGTACGTTCATGCTGCGACGTTTGTAATCTTTTGCACTGCCCCACTTTGTTTGTTTGGTTTGGCAGCTAATATTGTGGAACCTTGGTATGCTAAAGTGGCTCTCAGTTTAATTGGCATTCTTGTTTCTGTGTTTGGGCTGTTCTATGGTGGATACTGGAGGATTCAAATGAGGAAACGGTTCGATATAACGAAGAACGAGTTGTGTTGGGGGAAACCAAATGTTGTAGACTGTGCACAATGGTTGTTCTGCTGCTGCTGCTCTCTTGCTCAGGAGGCTAGGACAGCTGATTACTATGAATTAATGGAAGACAACCTCGGAAAAAACCGAACGAACGGCAGAGACAAGAACGAAATCCTGTCGCCATTACCTCGTGAAGGTGGAACAGTTCATGAGGATAGATCAAACCTGGATTCAAACAGGTTTTTAGATGAAACTGATGGAGTAAACCAGCTTTTGAAGCCCCCTACTCCATCATCAATGCAAAGAGATGATTTTGCGCTGACAATGACCAAAAATCTTGCATGAGAACCGGTCATTGAGTCTATGAGGAATTTGATTATAAATTCTATGATGTTTTCTCGTACTTTAGTCATGTTTGAATTGAACTAATACATAATTTTGTGTGTATTATTATGTGAATTCATAGATATATATGTTCATTTTCGCTTCTTTATACGTTACAAAAGACCATCAAAAGCATCTGCGTTCGTGCTATATACAAAAACGAAAAAGTAAAGCACATGCATGACAAGATATTTCTGTAATGACCCATGTCCAAGATCCGATCAAAATTAAGAATTTAGATTCAGCACTTGATAGTCTCGATATTCTCTTGCGACATGGCATACACATTTGTGCTATATACTAAAACGAGAAAGTAAAGCACATACATAACATGATATTTTTGTACGATCTATGCCCATAATTTAGATTCAGTACCTGATGGCCCTTTCATGCACCCCTGCGACATATTCCTGTTACTTGCTCCTCGCTTCTAAGAGTGAATGTCATCCCCATAGACCAACACGAGTCCTTTCAAATACTTTGGAATTCCTATGATTAAGCCACCGAAAAGAAAGGTGCACCTTATTAGTATTATAGATAGTAACTTTCAATTCTTTTAAGTTTTTTCTTAGTCATTTTATTCTCAAGATCGCCCTCATTCAAATATAGTCATAGTTCATTCATTTACCCATCCTTTGTTCGGAGTGTCACAGTTGCACAATCTCGGTATGGGTGTGATTTTGGGCACGAAAAAGGAAAATTAGAGGCATTGGAGAGGGAAGCTTTCCATCTATTTCTCAAAGTTATGAATATGATATGGCCTTAATTACTTCACATTGCAATCGTAGCAGACTGGAAAAGGAATCTAAGGCCAACCTCCCACACTTCCCACTAATCATTTTGAAAGGACACTACACATATAAAATTGATAACACTCCCACACGTGTGGTCGCCCGTCGCAAGAAAGTGACGTGTGCATACATGAATCTTATAAATTCTTTTTCATAAAGCCACAATTTTAAATCCATCACTAACAAATATTATCTGCTTTAGACTGTTTAAAACGAGATATTATCTGCTTTAGACTGTTTAAAACGAGTCTGTTACAGAGAGATTTCCACGCTCATTCTCAGCTTCAACTGACATGAGATCTCATAATCTACTCCATAGTCCAATAACAAACAACATCGGCTATGAACTGTTATATTCTCTTTTATACGTCAATTTTTAATAGGATTTTGCTTAGATTATTTGGGTTTACATTTGATTTTGAATGTGACGAAGAAATAACAAAAAAAAGAACTTGAGAGGTACGATGTGATGGAAGAAAGATGACACTGAATTGGAAATCTAATCATTAATATACAAGTTTAGGATATCGATGTTTGGTCGAGGTTCGAACTGAAAGAACCTTTTGAAGATGTGTCGGCAATCGGTTCGTCAAACGCTAAAGTTTACCAAATTTAATATATCTACTTGATTTAGTTAACAAAATAGTAATATGAGATGAACTATATTCGAATTGGATGATATTATTTCACAGATAATTAAGGCTTTTGACAAACTACAGTGCCAACATAATCGCCGGCAGCGAGCGGTGAAACAGATCCCGAGGGTGGCTCTGCCACACCGTCAGCCCATCATGACGGACCTCTTCCCAAGCCGGCTGCCGGAGATCCGCCACAACGAGCCACGTATTGAAATACTCTCTAAACTGCGTAATCACCCCATCTTTCAACGTCCAAACATGAACCCAATAGACCTGAGCCCCTTCCCAGCCTTCCGCCACAATAACAGAGTCGCCGATGGCTGTTATGCTCCTCGGCTCGAACCGAAACTCGGCGTGGCTGGACTCGCCGGTCAGGACCCGCATCATGTACTGGCAATGAGGTGGGCCGTGGAACCACCACTCGAGGTCGGTGGCAAGGAACTTCGCCACCGCGTCAGTCCGGCCGGCGGCGAGGGATTTATAGAGGGCATCGGCGGTTGCTCTGTTTTGATGCTCTGAGTCAGTGGAGTGGGTGATTTCGGAGTGTTTAAGGATGTGGGTTGATGTGGAAGTGGAATCCATGTTTGTTTGAGCAAAAGGGTTGTGTTTTGGAAGAAGGGATTTGAGCTGAAAGCTGTGGAATTGATTTGTGCATGGAAGTGTGTTATTTATAGTCGAGCATGTTCGGATTGAAGATTCAAATTTCTAATTAAACATACCCATTTAAGATGCGAACCTCGAGCCTAAAGGACCTACCTCAAATGTGGTGGGGAATCCCGGTTTAAACAAATAATGTAGAGGGAACACAAGAGATTTCTCTCTAAACCAGAACGAAGATCATATTTCCTGGCCTCACCTTTGAACCTAACTGATTCCGTCCCGACCCACATAAATAAAGATAAAATTTGTTTATTGGAAACTCTCTATAAAGTTTTTGCACGGAACTACCCTGATCCCACAAAAACAAATTAAATTTTTTACGGGATGTAAAATGAAGTACAGTCGTCCCATCTCCACTCTGTCTCATGGGTATCTCTATTTCTAACATTAGATCTCAGAGTATATAGGTTAACTAAGTGAGATACCCTAAAACTAACCATACATGCCACATTTTCTATTTGCATAATAATACACCTAATTTTTTCTTATTAGGTTAACAGTGTTAGTTTAATTATATCAGAGATTAGCGCTAAGGGTAAACTTGGAAAAATAGGTTAAAATTTATTTATAAGATTTTAGGCTAAATTAAAATAACTCGAGAATTTAAGGACCGATAATGAAATTATATGATTTTTTTTTTTTTTTAATGGGGAAAATGTTGATAGCTGAACCTACAAAAATAAATGGGTACCACAAACATACAAAATAAATGGAAAAGATTTTTTTTTTATTATTTATTTTTTTAAAAATGAATTCCAAATATTTATTTATTACTTTTTTCTTATTTAATATTTTAATTTTTGAAAAGAAATATGAATATTTTTTAATGCATTTTTTAATATTTTAATCTAAAGGTTCAATTGGGAAATGATAAATGTCTTTTTCCGGCGTAAGCCGATACGACGGCGATGGAGAAAAGATGACGTGGACGATGAGTTGACTGTTTGACTGATCCTCCCCGTCGTTTTTTTGGCCAACCGGCGGTAGGGACACGACGTCGTTTTCGGCTGCATGTACCATTCAAAAGCTACCAGTTGTCCTTGAGCAGATGCACAGTTCCTGGACTCTCCAAATAATTTTCCTTACCTAATTGTAATAATTTAATTTAATTTAATTTAATTTAATTTTAAAATACCCCCATATGTATTTTCTTAAAAATAGATATATTATTTTTTAAATACAAAGTTTATTAGACATTTTTTAATTTTTTTAATTTTAAACCCAAACTAATAAATATTAGGATAAAATATATTTTTAGTTATATATAAACTAAAAAAAAAAAAAGACTTTTTTTAGTTCCTTAATTTTAGAAAATTTCTTTTTAAAACAATAATAATAATTTTGCCTTTTTAATTATACAAATTTTAATTAACTAACATACTTAAATGTATATCAAATTCAAAATTCATTTCTAATATAATATTAATAATAATCTATATTTAAAATTGCATTAATATATTTTTAAAGCCTCAAATTTTTCACCCCATCTTGTACCTCTTTCCTTCACATTAACTCTTTTTACTTTTTACCATTTAACCTTTTTTTTTTCTTTTTTCTTTTTTTCCTAATTAGTGTTCATTTTTCTTTTCACCCCACCAATGGTAAATTTTTAAATATTTTCATTAAATTAAAATAAAATATTAAAAATTATGGTATATACGTAAATAATATTATATGAAACTGCCGACATGGATTCCCATCGATTCTGTCATGGATAAATGGGGTAATTAATTTTACTGGTTTTTTTTTACTGGTTTAAAAATAATATTTTGATTTATTTTTTCATATTCTTTCTATGGATAAATGGGGTAATTAATTTTACAAAAACAATAATTAATGTTATAAATAGAGATGTCTACTACCCGAGAAAGCTTTCTCCTCATTTTTTATCCTTGAGAAATATCTCTATAATTTTATAGAGATTGGGACGGAAATTTTCCATAGAGAATACACAAGAATCGGGTTTCCCATGAAAATAAAAAGTGGAGATGGGTGGGGCGGGGTAGGGAATTGAGCAGAGATGAGGATAGGGACGGGATGAGAAATACAATCTCTATTTCCGTCCTCGTTTATCTAACGGAGAGAAATTTCTCCCCATTCCCTCTCCATTTCCCATTTAAGACAGATTTTTTCACCAACCCTAATACCGTAGGGTAAAATAATAACTCATTTGTAGAAAATTATGGGGCACGGAATTGGGCGGAGACAAAAACAAAGACGGAATGAGAAATACAATCTATGTCCCCGTCCTCGTTTATCTAAGGGGGAGAAGGGATGTGTCTTCATTGACCCTAATAACGTAGGGTAAATAGACCTCTATAGAAACGTTTGAACTCTTCTTTCTGTCGCATAATAAATATTTTAAAGCACTATTAATGTTCTATAACTCTACTTCAATAAATTGGGTTATTAATTTTATAAAAACAATTACTAATGTTGCCAAACTCTTTCTTCTCTCACACAATAAATTAAGCTTTTAATAATATTAATAAAACATAAATTAGTAATCTTAGAAAGCATTCCCAATTAATTGGACTATTAAATAATTAAATAATTAATTAATTAATAATCCAATTAATTGGGAATGCCTTCTAAGATTACTAATTTATATATATATATTAAAACTCCTTGTTGATTATTTATTTATTTATTATTATTTTAAAATCAGTCTGGAAAATATTTAAATTACGAGTCTAAATTAATTGAGTCATTCTCATGTTGATATTTTTATATTATTAGTTGACTTATTTTCTTACTTCATTAATATTTGTGATGAAAAGATTAAAATTTTTAGTATGCTAAATCAGTTGAGTTATGCTCAAATTGACATATTTATTATTTTGGTGGAAGATATATGTATTAAATTATGCTTAGGTGGAGATTTTTATTATTATGGTTGACTTTTTTTTTAATTAAACAATATTTATGATGAAAAGATTTGAATCTTTAATTCGACCATGTATTTAAACCCGTTAAATTATGTTGAGATTGACAAAATTATTATTATTACCGTTGTTATATAAAAATGTATCACACATTTTAACAAAATAAAAAATAGATTAATTTTTAAAAAATAAAAAATAAAAAAGGCAAGTCATTTGAGCTAACCCACGTTGACTTTTATCTTTTGGATTACGAAAACCCGAGCGTAGGTTGATCGAGGAGAAACAAACAAAAGGATAAAGCCAGGATAAATAGTGAAATAGTCGTTGTAGACCGATGGAAGGATCATGAATTGAAAGAAAACATCCATTAAAATAAATGTATGGATGGATTATGTAATAGCTCGAGTCCATCGTTAGCAGATATTGTCGTTAGCCTCACAGTTTAAAACGCATCTACTTTGGAGATAGGGTTTATAATGGTATTAGAATGAATCACCAAATAGTGCGAGACACTGGTCAGAGTATGACTATCTAACAAATTAAAATTGATGACGTGTTTTAAAATAGTGAAGCTGACAACGATACATAACAAATTAAAATTGAATAATATTTGCTAGCGGTGGGCTTGGACTGTTACAAATGGTATCAGAGCCAGACATCAGACGATGTACCCACAAGGACGTTGACCCTCAAGGAGATTGTGGGATCTCATGTTGGTCGTAGAGGGGAACAAAACATTCCTGACAAGATATGGAAACATTCTCCTAATAGATGCGTTTTAAAATCCTGAGTCTAACATCCATTAAAAATGGTTACATATTAAGACAATGTTGTCTCAATTCTAGTACGAGAAGACGTAAATGGCCGCTTAATTTGATTAAAATTAAATTATTTTTATTAATAATATAGACAAAAATGAAAATAATAATAATAATAAAGACGTCAATATAATAATTAATAGGACAATGATCTACATGTACGGACCATGAAATTAAAGAGCACCAGTTGGATCCAGCCCAGCTGAAACCCACTCGTGTGCATTAGACTTTTATTATTTATTTATTATATTTTATCATTATTATTTCCTTTTCATATTAAAAAAAAGTTTTATTATTTATTCATATAAAAGCCTAAATTATTTGATCTTATTTATGTTTCGAGTTTGTAAATTTAGAAATAGATTTTCAAAAAGGGTAAATGTGTAATTTGAGAAAATAGAGATGACCCGAAATGAGGTGATAGACAATCGATGACTTACAAAAGAGAAATCGTTTACAACAAAACCTCTAATACTTAAGTCAAACCAAAATTTTAAGACCGTAAAAAGAAATTAGAGAACGAGAAAGTGAAAATAAGGTATTTTTACAAGCGTTGACCTAATATTTTTCATTTCCCTCCCGAATTTGATATGGAGAAGGGAAACGAGCTACCTAGAGTACCATGCATGCCGCCGCTTGAAATAAATTCATCACAAGGTCGACACCGAGGTGAGGAATCACCCAATTACATCATTTTCCATGTCCAATCTAGTCCTAAGGTATTTCTCGAGGCTCAAATTTCTATTGTTCTCGAGCCCAATTTTCATTAGCCCATGACGACTTGGTTTTATCCTCAATGTTTTTTTTTTCTTTTTCGACTCACTCATTAGATTCAAACTTACCCGTAACAGATTATTTTTACATGATCACCTAATTCAATCGTCTAGTCGTTCTAATACATATGAAAAAAAAAAAAAAATATATATATATATATATGGCTTCTATGATGGTATATATAATTAGATACTATTTTGTATCATCCATGTATCTCAGATGTCCATGTAGATTATTATTATTTTTAAAATGATTAATTTCCTACGTGGATATTACAGATATTTTACAAATTAGAAAAATACTAATTTTTGCATGGTTATGATTTAGAGAGAGGAGGTGAAGACCAGGGGAGGGTGTTTGGTGGTGGGTATCTATCCATTCAAGCTCAGAAGACAGAAATCATTAATGAATGATTTGGTCAGCCAGCTCATCTGCTGACTGGTCTAAGGGCCTCCAAAAAATTAAATAATAAAATAAAATCTTTAT